ATATTTATACATATATTATATCGTTATATATAAAAGATATATATATATATACATATATATATTTATATTTATATTTATGTTTTTTTATCTGTATATATATACCTATATGTATGTACATGTAATAGAAATATATAGATATATATAGGTATGGATATATATATTTATTTATATAAATATATATATATATATATATACATATATATTTATATTCTCATATATATATATACATAAATATATGTATATACATATATATATACACATACATATATATGTATATATTTATATTCGAATATATGTACATAATCATTTAAGTATATTTATATGTATATATATATATATATATCTATCTATATGTATGAATGTATGTATATATATATATATATATATTTATATTACTTTCAGTTTTGCATTCATTGTTCATACATTTCGTATGTATAATTTGTTTTGTTTTTGTTTATATATGAAATTGTCTGTGGATATATCAATATCGATGGACATATGGGGATGGGAAACTCGTTGGCTCCTTCCCAATTGGCGTCATCGAGAGTTGCATCGTTTAAGACACTTTACGATTGGCCTTGGTTTGTCATGAATATATATTTGTTCACTGTGCGTATGAGAGCTAAAATCATTTCAAACCTTCACTGTGTTTGGTGTTTACTGGACATGTATCCAGTTAGCATTCTACACATGTAGAGGATGGCTGTAACGTGGTTGTGCATAGTGTTAGTGACTATTAACTGTCAGGATCGTGTTGATTCCACATTCCCTTACATGCCGAAGTGTCTGGTCTGTGATAGTGTTTCTTTTCTGCTCTCTGTCACGAGTGAGAGTGTGGAGGTATCTTAGGCTCGCTCGCGTTCATTGCCATCCGCATTATTTTGCTTTTACTGTTCAAAAATGGCCCTTTCTACTCGCACACATTCCTGAATATTTATTGTTGTCAAATATAAAGTCAACTGGTGAATTTACAATCAGCCATATTAATGTATTGTCCACCATAGTCCACTAGCGTAGTTGGTGTAGAGATGAAGTGCGCAAGACAGTTTCATCCATAGCACAACAGCCATAGCTATTCAACCCCATCCTTCACTGCTCATATCCTTTGTTTTCCTTCTGGTACTTAATAGGCTGCCGTCAAGCGTGCCTTCGAAGCACTGCGTGTGGAACTCGAGCCCCACGGCATTGAGGTGAACTGCATATGCCCTGGGTTGGTAGACACCCGCATGGCTGATGCTATCATGGATGGAGCGGTGAAGCAGACGACTCTCGCGAGTTTAGTGCCCACAGTCACGAGCTACGTTTTGACGACGAGTGCGCAGGCGTCTGAGATTATCATCGATGGTCTGGAACGGGATGTAGAGTGCATATGCTTCCCACGACACCAGTACTACTTGGTGGCGCTGATGAGTAGTCTGCCGGAACGGCTGCAGAAGCTGTCGTGGTCGCTGTTTGGCGTTAATGAGAAGTTCGAGTAGGCGCGCGTGTGGGGCCCAATATATTGTTACGGTACCACATAGTCTAATGTAAATATATTAAATTTAGTCAAGTCAGGATGTGGAAGCGTGAATTGGGGGTTGGGTTCTGTGGTCAGGGGCACTATATGGTGAAGGCTAATGGTGTGCCAGTTGTAGCACGTGTGCTCATGCACAGGTAACTGTGTTTTCGCACTAAACTGTGTTGCCGTTAGTGCGTCCGAGGAACCGCATCAGCAGATGCAATGCCGTGACGTTGAGAGAGGCTGCCGCATGGTGGAGTCTCGACTGTGTACCAATTCATACTGTGTTTGCATATACTTGTCACCGGTCAAGTGAATCCTTAGCGCCTTGACATTGGTATGTCTGTCGTCTTTTTCATCATCATTTTTGTGCCTATTTTAAATTAGACTATACTTGTTGTATCTATTGAGCACACCTAAAACCCTAGACTTGTATGATAATATCTATATCTATTTTTATTTCTTG